TCAACCAGATTAACCTGACGGAAATTGAAGAATAAGACTGAGGTCACTCTTCGAGTAGCAAAGGGCTGTCTTTCTATCTTTTTATACTATTGAGTGTATATTGTAGTATATTTGGGATATCCAAGACAGAAGAATTGTAGAGCTATGTGGCAGATTTAAGAAGTTTGATGAAGATGCAGATGGTCCATTGCTTGTGTGAATTATGTGATGTTGGCTCTTCCTGCAGTGGAAATCAAACTTCACGTATGCACATCTGAAGTAGGAGAAAAGGTTATCCTAAGGGGGTAGTGTCATGCAGTGATGAAGAGCCTGCATGACGCATCTGGAGTCAGATGGCCTGATTTTGAGTCCCACTTCCAGCCCATATGTGTGGGGTTGGGCCAGTGAGTTAACTTTTTGGGGACTCAGTTTCTTCAACTGTAAATAGCCATGTAAAGTGCCTTGTACCTTGTGACTGTATTAGTTATTTACTGATGTATAACAAATTACTCCAAAAACTTAGTGGCTGAAGACCACAAATAGTTATTATCTCTCAGTTTCTGTGAGTGGGAATCAGTGCACATCTTAGCTGTATGTCCCTGGCTCCAGGCCTTTCATGAGGTTGTAGTCAAGGTGTTAGTCTGGGCTGCAGTCTCATCTGAAGGATGGAGCGGGGGGTGGCTGGGATCTGCTCACTCACACAGATGCTAGCAGCCTCAGTCACATGCCACATGGGCTTCTCCACAAGATGGCCTCACAAGGTGGAAGCCACAATCTTCTTGTAAACCAGTCTTGGAAATGATACCCCATTACCTTTGCTGTACTCTGTTTGCTAGAAGCAAGTCACTAAATCTAGTCCACACTCAAGGGGAGATGACTTTACAGGGGTGTGAACACCAAGAGATAGGACCACTGGGGACCATCTTGGAGGCTGCCTGTGTTAGTAACTTGTGCTTTAATTTATATCTTCTCACCACCTATGTGCATGAATTTCAAATTTATGTATCTACCTGTCTACTTGATATTTCACTAGGGTGTCTAATAGGCATCTCAAACTTAACATGGGAAAATGGAGCTCCCTGACACCTGCACTCCCAGTCTTTTCCATCTTAGTGATGGCAACTCCATTCTTAGAGATGATGGAGTAAAAACGTGGAGGGATCCTTGACTCTTTTCTTTCTCTTATACATCTTGTCAACTTGACTTTCAAAATACATCCAGAACCTCACCAGTTCTCAACACCTCCACCACCAGGCTCGCCTCCTTTGTCCGTGTACTGGGTCTCTCTCCTGGATTTTTGCAGTAGCCTAACAGGGCTTTTTGTTTTCAACCTTATCTCCTTCTGGTCTATTCTTCACATAACAGACTGAATTATAGTATTATTAGCTAAATTAAAAATAAGGCATATCATGATACTACTCCATTCAAAATTCTCTAGTGTCTTCCCATTTTACTTAAAAGTAAAAGTCAACCTCTTTACTATAACCTACAGGGCCTTTCTTGCTTATAGAATTATTTCTCTGTATTTTATTGTGTAAAATAATATATGTGTATAATGAATACTGTATGTATGTATGTATATGTCAAGCTCTTTTACCTGCCCGTAATTCTGCCCACTGGGCCATTTGTCGAGCTAGGCCTGGGTCTGGAGCTCACAGACCCCTCAAGCCCGTTCACAGACTGGGTCACATACCTTTCATGTGCCAGGCTGGGTCCCCAGACCCCCACACACCAGGCTGGGTCACCAGAACCCTCACACTCAGGTCTATGAGCTAAGTAACTGGCAAAAAGGTCCTTGGAGCCATAGGTTCGAGAGCATGGCTGTGTGCGGCAGATACCCGAGGCAGTAGATGCCAGAGGCAGTAGACGCCAGCCAAAGTGTGTGGAGGGTTTGTGACCCAGTCTGGACAATGGGCTTGAGGGGTCTGTGAGCTCCAGACCCAGCCCTAGCTCGACAGTATATATGTGTAAACACATTTATATGTTTAATTATATATCTAGAATTTTTTTCCTATATGGTGTAAGATGGAGATCTGACTCTTTCCAAATGAAGTGCCAATTTTCCCAGCACCATTTATTGAATAGAATACCTCTTCCCCACTGAGATGATTTTCTACCGTGAATTTACTCATCTCTTCCTATGCAATCTCAGTCTAATTGTTTAATTTTTGAATAAAGATGTACCTAATTGATCAAATAAATCATATAAGGTACAATTGTGTTTGTAGGGATTTTGATTTGGAGTATTCAAATACATGTAAAAACAACTTGAAATATAATTGGGAATTAATTATGGAAACATTTACTTAAGTCCCTTTATTTAATAGATTAGTAACTAAGTCTACTTAGGAAGCTGTGACTTCAATTTTAAAATCCAGTTAGCTGCAAACCTAAGACTAAAAAACAAATCTCCTGCTAGTAGGTCATAGTTCCTGGCTTATGTAGAAACACTTTATTTTGCTGCTTCTGCTGCTCATAACTTCAGAAAATTTTCATCAAAATGCCTATCAAATTTGCAAACCCTGTAAGGATATTATTCTCTGGCATGAAATCCTTGTTTATGTAGCCAACTTTCATATCTGTGAATGCTCTGGGCCCTGGACTTTCTTTTCTCCTTTCTGGACTTTTGCACTTATCTCTATTTATGATAACTTAAACTGGCAAACCAGAAAGGGTAGGCAATGAAGATTAAACTCAAGCCAGTTTGTTTTGTGGGTTATTAGCAGCATTGGTGAAGAGTTTGCTGAAGGAAGGAAGTATATTGAAATTCTTGCTTAGAGGGTGGTATGTAAAATTATCAATTTTCAGTAGTTTTCTTTTGATAAAAATTGCTTCATACTGTAATGGTATGTGTAATTGAGGGTCAGTTATAAATCACAAAATGAATCACTTCCAACTCCTTCACATCTACAGAGATAAGAATGGAAGATATTGCCACTTAGATGAGAATATTTTTTTTCTTTCTCTATGAATAGCCTTGCTCCTCTGGATGCCCAGCTTTGACAGCTGGTGAAGGGCCTTGAGGTAACATTCTGCCTCTCCCAGATAGATTTTGCTCCAAGACAGGTGACAAGAATAAAATCTAGAAATGAATTTCTTTCTTTAGGGCAAAAACAAAGAAAAAGAGAGTACTCTGAGGAAGTGTTATGCCACTGATGAACTTTTCAGACTGAAACCATATTATATTAGATTAAATGATTTTATATCCATTAAGAGCCCATGAGCATGAGTGATTCCACCCAGAGTCTAGTCAAAGTGCACACTTACTTGCAGTGTGACTTTAAGAGGTATGTTGACCTCCCTGGGCCAGCAGGTTCATTTGCAGAAGAAATTGAAACTAGATGGCAAAGACCCTTTCCAATTCTGAAAGACCAAGATATAAAATTGGTAACGAATAAGAAAAATGCAGCAATTTATTTTTAGTAAAGAAGAGATTGATCCCAGCCAATAACTCACAGTGGGCTTGCTTAAATCCTCCTCCTCTCTCCAAACTCTTGTTTTTACCAAGACGGTTTGTCATGCTTTGAACTTCCTGGCTTATGTTGATTTCTATCAATATGTTACTGTTACACATTTGAGTGGGAGCTGAGCTTCGTTTCATAAAAACTGCTCAGAAGACTAATAAAATCCTTACAACCCTACTTTCTGTGGGTATTGATAGCATCAAGGAAATGAAAAAAACTTCTATTTTCAGGCAGTCACTCTTCCAGCTAGACTGAAAATTTAATGGCATTAAACTCAACTCACTTGTTTTAAACATTAACCAAGAGACATTTTTTCGTCCTCCTCATCAGTTATAAGAGTCCGCATGAATTGAACCAAAGATATACACAACTCCCCAAAAGTCTTCTTAAAAAATGTTGACTGTTCCATAAAGTAATAGCTTCAGAAAGCTTTCAAGGAATTAGTTATTCATACAGCAACCTAGCGAGGTGTCCAAGTATATCTGCTCTCTTACAGCTGGGTCACTCGGTGAGATATTTGGTGATGGACATAGGACCTTTGGAGATTTATAGAGAGTTTTGAGTGACAAGTGTGATGTGGCCACTGTACTCAGAGAACTGGGTGACAGTTTTCCAATGGACTTTCAAAAGAGATGAAGAAGAGCTCATAAAAGGCTAAAAAATGATGCAGGCAGTGTTTGAAGGCTGTTTTCAGGCTCTCGAATGGCCGTTGCCAAAAAACAAACAGTGGGGTGGATTTGACTAAGCATCAAAAGAAGCTCGAACAACAGCCTGTGACGAGTGTTAAAAGCTCACAGCGCAGAAAAGAACTTTTCAGAGCTACCTTGTCGCACACAGTTCTAACGTGTAGGCTTTATCAGCTGCTCTGAGTGGGTGCAAGGAGGCATGCATATCTTAACCATTCATTTCATATTCCGTGTGGAAAGTAACTACTGCTTTTCAACCTGGGTGGAGAAAGTATTAAGTTTATCAAGAGTCAGACAAGGGAAATCCATCCATTTCCTATTTGTAGTGCAAAATGGAAAATTTCCTCTCTCTCTTACACTTTATCTTTTTTTAGTCAATCCTAATAGTCTTCTATTTAAGAAATAGTGATATTAGCCAACTGGTCTGCATCTTTAATAGGCAGAATTAGATGAATTTTTGTTTAAAATAAAACTTTCTCTACTTTCTGCCCTTGGTAACTGCACATCAGAGTCTAATCATTTAAACATAATAAATCCTTCTTTACTTCTTTCAATTGGTAAACTGGAAATTTTGCAAGCATATTCCTGCTGGTGTATATCCTGATTTTCAAGATGTACTACCTACCCCCGCGCAAGGCTGTGTTTTCTTTCTTCCTTCCTCCCCACAGCCCCACCTCCAGTATTTTAGGGCACCATATGTAGATAAGATGTGTGATAGCTTCATTCTGGTAATTAACATGCTTGTTTGAGGTTATAATATACATTTGAGAAAGGCCAGGGATTTCCCCTGAATATCTACTAACTGCTTGAAGTGGCATTTTCATTCTGACTTGGGTTTCTTTTTGTTTTGTTTGACTGCAGCATACTGGAGCATAATGAAAGAGTCTATTTTGAGTCCTCAAAAGTAGTGCTGCTGCAGACCATGAGCAAGAGAGAACGAGTGGACTTCAGCCTGCACGAATGATCTTGAATCACGAATGGTAAGTCATCCGAAGGACTTGGCATTTATTAGCTTTAGATTTCATCAGGCATCATTTTTTTGGTGTACCAGCACATCTTATTCAAGGCATAGCTATTTCTCTGCAACCCAAGCAAGAGGACATTTGAGAAAATGTTGTTCTAGAGACAGAGAGCCAAGAGAGCAACCAAATTTATTTAAAGTGTTTGTTTCTAAAATTTGCATTTCATTCTGTAGGATCTAGGTAGCATGCATTTGTGGTTAGAAAAGAAGATCCCCACCAAAAAAAACCCAAAACCAAAAACAAAAGCCAAACAGCTAAACATAAAAACAACAAACAAACTGTATCCTCCAGATATTCCATTTTAGCTGAAAGCATAAGGGATTAATCACACAAGAGGTAGTAGATTCGGTCTGATGGCAAGTTTATTACCCTGTAATCAAGTATTGGGATGGGCAAAGTGAGAGACATTGAGAGTTCCCAGCTCCTGTTCAACCATGTTTATTGAGTAACTTTTAACTAAACGTGGTCCCCTGAATGACAATCTTAGTCTGTGGGTTGGAATTCAAACACTCCAAACTACACACCAAAATAATGTGGACTTCCAAGGACAGTTTGTCAGCCTAGTTCATGGTGTTTCCTGGAACGGAGTCCTCAAATAGAAGTCCAGTTCTTCCCCACCTAGCTTGGTGACCTTGGAAAACTAACTCATCGTCTTGGATTGACTCACCTGTGCATACCTAAATCATCTCCAAGGTGTCTTGCAAATTTCAAATTCAGTTCCCTCCAGTGAAATTAATTAAATAATTGTACCCTTTAATTCTTGCCCACCAGAATTTATTGTGTGCCTTTGGCAAGTCATCATTTGCAGAAGGGCTCATTATATCAACCAGTATGGAGAAAAGGAGCCAGGTCCTGAGGGTCCCCTTCTTTTTCTAGCATCCATCCTGGAATTTAAGTATCTGCAATTAACGATTTATCCCCTTGCAACATTAAAGAAAATGTGGCAGTGTTTTCTGAATATTATATTCAAATAAACCAGATAGGCTTCTTTTGAGCTATTGTTCTTTTTCTGTAGGGTGTCTAACTGTTCCTTTCTCTGTGCACGCTGTCACTGTGTTACTCGTTATCTGCCAGCTCTTTAACCCCATGGCCCCCCAAACTTTGTTTTACATGGAACAGAATTTATTATTTTTCTTTCTTACTAAACAGCCTCTTTTCTTAAGCAGAACTATGAACAACACTTCAAATGATTCTCAGATGTCACTCTTGTTAGCAGCTGGCTATCTGCCTCAGAGTGGTGCATTATTTGAGTTTCATAACAGCATTTTTTTCCCTCTTACAAATGTTAAATTACGAAGTGCAGGAAACCACATGAATGTGGCAGAAAGAAAATGCAAACCCAGTGTTATGTGGAAATGCCAGTTTTATGGTCCTTCTGGTGAAAGTATCCTCCCTGTAATTGACACGTGAAGTCTCTTGACCTGTTTCCTGGTCGTCTTCTATCCCATAACTTCATCTTTATTTATGCTGTATGCTATGGCCACCCTGTCAAGCTGAATCAGGAGGTTTGGTTAAGACGATTGCTTGGGGCTACCTCTTATCCAAATCCTGCCTGACCATGAAGCCTGGCTCTCATTCACAGAGTCTTCCCTGAATCCTGGGGATTTCACTAACTGGTCTCTTCTTATGAACTCCCAAAACATTTAGAGTGTGCATCATACAAAAGGTATTGCTATGTGTTGCTTTGTGGATGTTTGCCATCATCCTGTCTGGGCTGCAGACTGCTTCAAGGTAGGAATCCAATCACAGACTAGTGTTTTTCTAGGGCCCTGTAGTCCCAGGACCTTCTGCATCTGAATCACCTGGACATGTTTATTAAAGTTACAGATTCAACACTAGCAGGCTTGATGAATCAGAATTTCTGGGATGTAGGGCCCAGGAAACTCACTTCTGATAACTCTTTTGCACACTGAGTTTTTTTTTTTTTAATAAGAAAGTTTTTTTTTAAATTAATATTTTTTTACATTCTATGATGTTGTTGTGGAGCAGTTGGGAGGGAGGGGGAGAGGAGAAAGGGGAAGGAAGGAAGGAAATGGGATGGAAGAAGGAGGAAGGAGGGGGAGTGGGATTGAGGCCAGGGGGCTTCCAGTGGTGGCTTGGTCATTGCCAGGCTGGGTGCAGAAGTCAGGGGGGTATGGCAAAAGCCCTCGTCCCCCACCATCCCAGCTCAGGAACCTGGGGCCCTTCTTGCTGTGGTTTGGTGGTTGTCGCTGGGCTGGTTGCTGGTGTTGGGGGGCCTGACCAAGGCCTTTGGCCCCCTCGCAACCCCTGCTTGGGAGAGCCCAGGGTGCTTCCTGCAGCAGCTTGGTGGCTATCGCTGGGCTGGTTGTGCATGTTGGGGTGTGTGGCCGAGGCCCTTGGTCCCCACCCTTGGGACTGGTTGAGGGTGTCAGGGGGCATCACTGAGGCCCACAGCCCTCCCCCCTTTCTGGTTTGGTGGCACAGGGGACTTCTGGTCTTTCTAGGTGTTACAGGCATTTTTTGTGCACACCAAGGTTTGAGACCAACTGTCTGAGACTAATTCTGCACCCTCCTCTTTGTCTCCTCACCCACAGCAAACGGTCCAGGACTGAGCACATCGTAGGAGCCTAGGAAATATTTGCTTGTTGGTCTAAGCAGCATCAAACTATGAGGGTGATATTCACTCTTTAATTGCCTAGCCTTTTCAGTATATGAAGTTAGCATAGTCTCTAAACCTCTAGAAACCCAGTTTTGTCTAAATGCACAAAGTATTCCATTAGACCAAAGGCTTTTTTGGAAACCATCTTTTTATGAGCTTTTCACCTCAACTATTGAGTCTGTCCCTAAAAGTGACAGTAGCCCTTGAGTCTGATATATCAGGAACATCAGCTACGGGGAGATGGGCTGGAGCAACAGGATGGGAGGAAGATGTGAGAGTGGAAACAGGGCTATGCTAAACTGGAAGCTTTATCTTTGGCTCCCAAAGCCACACCTGCTGCCCTTGGCAATTTATTGTGAGTGGCATTTCTTTCAGCTGCTGGGGCCTGCAGATTGTCAGTTTTGGTGGCAGGACAGTGGTCCCATCGCTGGAAGGGATCAAGTTAAGCTGCAGTGGACGTCCATCAAAGCACCCACAGTGGCAGTGGCAGATTCAGGATTTGAATCTGATGTTAACAGACTACAATGGTGACATTTTTTGGCTCCCTACTTCCCTCCTCTTTTTGCTCCAGCAAGGGCATGCCTAGCCTTGGGTGAACCAGAAGAGATTTGCAGGGTGTTGCTGCTTATGGTACAATCCCTGAATGCTCTTGCTGATGGTTCCAGCCCTGGTAGATGGATCTGACAATTAGTTTAAGTCAGAAACCAAAAAGAAGAACTCACAGAAGCTTAGCTAACTTATAAAGGAACAGGTGGGGTCATCAGAATATTTATTAGCTGTTAAGAAAACCACTACCAAATGCATTAAAAATTTTTCTTGCAACTTTTTTTTTGACTGTTGCTTAGTCATAATTTTACGTGGAGAAGTTGTGCCAATCCCACATTCAGTTTGTGTGAAAAGTCACATTCAAGCACAGTGTCAGAAAAGTATCTTCTCCCAGGTCTCCATTCAATTATGACCGCAGGAGGTCTAGAAAGCAGAAAGGTATAATGGAGTGGATTCTCCTCATATTCTCAGTTAGGCAAAGGAAAAAAAGCACGTGTTCCCAAAGCGACGTTAAGGGCAAAAGAGGATTTTAAATATGTGCTTCATGGAGACCTCACTAGATTTTCCTCTTTGTGGCTTCTGCATAGCTTCTTTCAGTAGATTTTCCTGTGGGTGGGGGTGAGGGCTGTTTTTGTGATGCAGGAGGCAAGCGCCCGGTTTGTCAGCTACAGAAGAGAAATGCACAATTGTTTGCTTAAAGTCTTTGAGCCTTTGTTAAAGGCCGTCAGGTGGAGAAATAACCAGGGATAAAATTAAAGAAATTATAACATGCAGGATTTCAACAAAATACCACATGATGGCATTTCTGTTTTGGAGGTCCTTAGCCACACATGGAATATTTCCTTACAAGTAGCCATCCATGGTGGGAAAGGAGAAAAATTGATTCTAAAAGAGCATCAGTCTGGTTAGAAACTATGTCACTTGTGTCGTTTACCATGAGGCGTCCTTTAGCACTACAGGGTTTGCAAACAGCCACATCAATCATAGGCACTGCTTTTGGAAGGCAGATGTAAATAAAAAAAGAGCCAGGCCAATGCCCTCACTAAAGACCATCATTAGAAAGCTCGTTACATGTTTTCCAGCGTAGAGGAGCTTGGTTACTTTCATGTACCTAAGCCAGTGTTCTGTAAAGCAGTACCCAAAATGCCTTGTGGGACGTGGGTGATAGCTCCCTCCTCTTGTCGATGCTATCACGGCCTAATACCTGCCCGAGTCCTTCAGAGAAGCTGTGTGGTTTGCTATAGCTGTGAGTGAAACCACACCAGTTCAGGAAATGCAGTGAATTTTCTTCTAACAGGCATCATCAAAACAGATGTTGGTTTACTTGGTAGGTCCCCTTTCTTACTGACAATTTGAGAGCTTTGAAGGGAGGTATTTGCCGTGCATCAAAAGAAAAGAGAATTAAACTGCCGCGTTTGCAGACTGTGGGCGTGAAAACGGAAGGCGACGCGCCTCCAGTTCGTTACTGCGCACGCGCTTCCGGAAGGCCCCGCCACCATCATGGCGTCCATATCAAGTCTGCGCTGGAGTCCGGCTCGTCTTTCTCTTCAGAGTTTAAGCTCATTTACCTCCACCTTTCTCCTAGAGGGCTCCAGTTGGATGTTTTATAAGGGCCTTCAACCTTAGTCTAAACCTACAGTTGTCTTTATCCTGTCTCCCTTTATGGGATTCTTGATTGAAGAAACAGGATCACCAACCCGCTACTGTTGATGCTGGACACGTTCTCCTCGTCTTCTACTTCATCCCTTGACCAGATGCTGTAGTTTTGCCTCTTAAATATTGTATAGTCTAC